CTCGCAAATATTTCAAGTCTGATAATAGCACTAGCAGATGTCTTTATCAATGGACCTTTTTCCCTACATAGATATCATTAGTTGAGTATTCCATATTACTGGCGGTCGATTGAGTTCCGCCCGTCGCAAATGATATTAAATGAAGAGGATCCTTCACTGAGTAACAAACCTCGATAGGTAGTGATCATAATTCAATAGCAAGAAATGTACAAAATTCTCATCTGCTTATCGTGTTGCCACTAATGGGTCCCTATCACTGCACGTACCACTCACTTTTGTCACCCTACTCTACCATATCGTCCTAAGAATGAATCATACTGAACAGCCAAAGCTACATCTACCGAAGAGTTAGAATTTTGATCAGTAGGTGGCTCTTGCTCTCTCCCTTATCTTCTCTTATCAGTTGTCATTGGTTTTTGTCACCGAGTACCTACGATCCCGTCATATCCTACATCATTTAGCAGAACGCCGAGTTTTCACTGCTGATACGAAAAGCTGTGATCCTACAGAATTCGAACTCTTTACGTCAACGTAAAAAGGATTTATGAATTTCCGCTCAACCACTTTTTCGCGCAAACCCTGGCCCGTAAGAGCGGAGTTTGGCTTTGCTGCCCGCCATATGTTTTTCCATCCAGTCGCCTGCCATCGTACCAAATTTCAATGCTCTAGGTCACGTAAGCAGGAGTTATGAATTTGCACCTAAAATTTTTTCCGCACACGCCCCGCTCCTGTAGACAGAGCCCGATACTGCCACCTATCATAGGTGTTCCCATCTTGCCTCCTGTACTCCTACTATATTTCAACGTTCTAGGTCCACGGGAACAGGAGTTATGAATTTCCGGTTGAACACAAACCGTTACACACACGCAAAAAACACACCGACAGATCAACAGAAACACTTAGCGAATTATACATAGTAGGATTATATCTACTCGATCATGACTTGTAATTTTTATTATCTTTCATTATCCTACTGTATATAGCAAATTGGTAGAAGTACATGGGGCAGGCTGGAAAGACTTATGATAGATGGTAGGACCGGACCTCGCCCACAGCGGCGGGGAGTGCGTGAAATAAATGGTTGAGCGGGAATACCTAACTCCCGTCCGCGTGAACGTAAGAGCTCAAATTTGATTGGATTACAGCTTTTCGTATTGAAAGTGGAACCTCGGCATTTCAAATAATGATATAGGACGTGACGGAGTCGCAGGTACTCGATGACAGGAAATGATAATAACTGATAGGAGAAGATAAGGGATCTTAGCCACTCTAACAAAATCCTAACGTCTTCAGCATTTACGATGTATCTTTGACTGCTCAGTCTGTTTCGTTCGATGAGACGGGATGGTAGAACAGGTTGACAGAAGTGTATTGTGAGCGCTGTGATAGGGTACCATTAGAGACACTACGATAAGCATATGAAAATTCTGTTTGTTTCTTGCTATTAGATTACGACCACTACCCAGCAAGATCTGTGACTCAATGAAGGGTATTCTTTGGTCGACATCATTTGTTACAAAAGCTAGCCGGCGGCCAGTAATCTGGAATTCTCAATTCCAGATTACTGGCGGCCAGCTAGCTTTTCACAAATGTCACAAACATTACTCAGTCTCAAATTCATATTGATAACGACATCTGATAATGGTGTTATCATCACTTGAAACATTCGTTAGTACCGCCTAAGGCTTCGGCTACCTGATAGTTAAATCTTTGATGGGTGTTTAATTTTAAGAAAAAGAGAAAAAATCGAGACTCCCAACTAAAGGCGCGTTCACACTGAATACCGTTTACACTGCCCTGTTAGCTCTGTGTCAAACTTCGTGACAGGAGAATACAATTTGTTTCAACGAAGAAGCAAAGAGTTATCCGATTACTACAACTTCGTTGGATAAGAAGCGAAGCC